ATATTCAGCAGGGTGTAAGACTTTTACTATTAAGTCTCAGTTGATAATCAGGGTTATCAGACACACTCTGGTTAAGTTTCAGAATACAATTTGAGGTTTAATTAAAACAAGTTTTATGAGCCTGCACAGCTGAAGCTTAAATATGAAGGTCAAATCATGATTTGCTTCTATACTGACACCTTAATGTCACAAGTAAGACGAGTTCAATTAAGTGACATTTAAATGAAATGCGTAAGAAGTTTAAAAGTCATATCATTTTCTAATTATGAGTATTTAATTGCCCACTTTGGTCCTTTCTGGATCGTGGGAAGCTGGTGTCTGTTTCCAACAGTCACTGTGAGAGAGACGGGGGACACCCTGGACAGGTCTCCAGTCCATTACAGGGACACATAGAGGCAAACTAGACAAACAGTCACACTTTCACTCATACCTTGGAACAATTTAGTTACCAAATATCACATTTCACTAGTTTAATTTAATTTGTTTCAACATAAGTTCTAAGAACAAAAACAAGTTATCACATCACACATGTCAATAATAAACAAATTGCTTATTTTTTACAGTCAGATTATTAAAGTGAGCCTCATTAGTTTGTATACAGCCTCAAATTTCTCTTTTTCCAGTCATCACGTTAGTTTTCTTATTTTAGCTGCTGCGTGCACAAATTTGTTGCCGATGCATGAATGGTTCTAACTCAACACTTTAGCTTTAGCAGGTCAAATATTTTGTTTGTGAGGTCTGAACGCTTGTTTAAAATCTGAATAAATACAGTATCTACGCTCCGTACGAGCACTGTTGGGAAAACAGCTTTAATGTGTTTACTAATAATTGTGTGATGGATGAATTCCTGCTTTGTGTCAGTAATAAATTGAATTACCTTGTTTTCCGCCGTACAAGTTGCTCCGGCGTATAAGTTGCATCAGTCCAAAAATGTCTAATAAAGTGGGAAAAAAACACAAATCCATGTTTGGATTCTGACGCCGTGGCGGAAATGCGCCCGACAGGAGCAAGCTAGACATGAGTACAATGTTCCCTGCATGGGGGGATCCTCCACCACCGTGCTGCATATTATATTATTTGCAGTTTGTAATCTGCAAAATAAGATTTTCTGTTTGGGGTTCATTTTACTTGTGTTAAGTTTTTCTCAGTTGTCTCTAAGTGAACGTTTGTGTGTTGTAGCGGGATAGAGGAACAACGTATAAAAGCCTAAAGGGCCCTTTAGTGGCTGCAACTGGTTCATGTCTATGAATTAACATTTCAAGCGTCAGTCAAAAATTTGCATTGTGAATATGGAAAAAAAAAAAAACATATTAGTTGCTTCAGTGTATAAATCTCAGGACTTGCCAATTTATGCAAAAAGGTTCGATTTATACGGCGGCAAATACGGTAACGGAAATGCTTTTTGTGAAATGGAAATAAGTTAGCATAAATTTAAATGCCAAAACATTCAATCATTCAAGCCCCTTTGATTCAAACACATACAAGATTAAAACAGACTGCAACACG